CGCTGTGCCCCGCGCCGCCCATGTCCTCCGCGCCGCTGCGCTCGCCCACCCCGCGGCCCCACAGGATGAAGAAGGACGAGTCGTTCCTGGGCAAGCTCGGCGGCACGCTGGCGAGGAAGAAGAAGGCCAAGGAGGGTGAGTGCCCGGCCGCCGGCCTGCAGCCGCGCAGGCGTCCCCGAACCCGGCCGGGGCCACGCGTCCCCGCGCGCAGGCGTCCCCGCGCCCCGTTGGGGTGGCTCCCCGCCCCGCGCCAGCGGCCCCCGCGTCCCCGCCCCCTCCGGGCCCCGCGCGCGCGCGTCCCCGAGCTCTGCCGGGACCACGCGTCCCCGCCCGGCCTCGCCGGGGTGACTCCCCGGCTTGCGCGCTCGGCTCCCCGCTCCCCACAAACCCGCCGACCCCGCGCGGCGCGCCGCCGTGACCTTCGGGAGCGCCCTTGACCCTCGCTCCTTCCTCCTGCCCAGACCTTTAAACACTGGCGGCGAGTCTTCGCGGCCCGGCCGCTCCCTCCCGGGCGGTTTGCAGATGGCCGCTGGTGCGGAAGGGGGACTTGGAGCGAGAGCCGGGGTCGCCCCCTCCCCGGCGCTCCCGCCTGCCGGAGTCGCCGTTGGCTTAGCCCGGCTCGAGAGCAGCCCCGCCGGCGGGCCCACTGCCCTCAGCCCTGCGTGTGGCCCTCCTCGTGCTGAGCATTTGCTGGCCACTTCGGGCTGGCTGGGCACGGGCCAGAGGCCGGGTTGGTGTTTTGGGGGCGGGAGCCCCTACAGGGGACAGGGCCCTCGCCCTGGAGCAGGGAGGAAGGAAAGGGGCGCAGCGAGTGCAGGCCACAGACCGGGGTGGGGGTGGGGGTGCCGCCACCGAGGGCGGCAGAGCTCCCCTCCCACTTTTGTGCTTGGGAAAATCATTCTGAAAAACTACCTGCCTCCTTTTACAGTTTTAAAGTTTTCTCAGAGTTGTAAGGACCGGAACTGCTGCCCGCGTTTGTGTGTGTTTTAAATACACCGCTGTTTGGCTGCCTCTTTGAGGACCACATTCCTGAATTTTCCCTTTGTTCAAGCCGGGAGATTCCTCCCCTGGGGCAGATTCCGGATGGGTCTGGGTGAGTCCTGCTTGGGAGGAAGGAGGAGCGGAAGAGGCCGCCAAGATAAGGCAGGTGGGGGAGAAGGCTGGCCTCAGGCCGGTGTCCAGGGAAGAAGGGGCAGGGAGAGGGATGTGTGGACTGGTTTCCTGAAACCACGGAGGCTAACACGCCCCAGAAAGTCTCCTGGTAGCTCCAGGTTGAGTGAACCCCAAGGATGCATACCCGCGGGGACACTCGATCTCCATTCATCTCTCCAAGGGACCTTCGAGTTCCTAGGGACGTGGGGGGGGGGGACGTGCATACCCCCATGCATTCCCCTCGGGAATTTTTATGGGGGGAGGTGTGTACCCTGGCGTTTCCCATCAGGGAAGCTTTTACCAAATGACTTGATTTGGTTCCCTGTGGGTAGGGCCTTGTCAACCTTTTGGGGCTTCCAGACATCCCAGAACAAATTGGCCATTCCTCTCTCGCAAGCCTTACGTTACGATTTAAGGGTCCAAACTGGCTTATATTTGTTTCCTATGAAATGGTAAATGACAGTCACTCTTCTGTGTCATTCCTGCCGCCTCGGTGATGTGTGTCGTCAGCTGTTGCGATGTCGCCCTCACTACAAGTCATTTCAGGTCCCCTTGGGGACTTGGAACAATTACAGACAGAAATGCCGCTTCCCTGTCCCAGTTTGTTCGGCCTGGGGAGAAGGGATGCAGGCCAGGCTCCTGCCTTCGGGGAACGGGGCGTCGGCTGTGACGAGCCCATGGACCAGAGCATGAGGATACCAAGCACTCTGAGGAACGTGCGAAAACACAGGCTGGTCGAGAAGGGCCCAGAGCAGGTCACGCTTGGGCTGGGATCAGAAGGAACGGGTGAAAGAAATCTGTCACTGACTAGCAAGGCAGCGGAATATTCTGGACTGTCATGGCTTTTTATGGGTGCCGTTTGCGCCCTTGGAATACGAAGAACGCTTGCCTGAATAATGGGCTGGGCCCAAAGGGAAATGCTTCTTGTCTTTGCTTCTAGGAGCTCGTGTGTGTCTAGTGCGTAGTGGGCCGGTCTGGTCGGACTGGTGCACCGGGAATCCCGGTACCAGAGCATCCTGGGAAGAACAGCAGGGACGTGAAGACCGCAGAAGGGCCAAGATGCTTGCAGTAGTGCTGTTGCTTTTGTGTGTGAGTTAGCCGGCTCCCCATGCCTCGGTTCTCAAAGTTTGGGTGCCTGGCCTGCTTGGGGTTCCCCCATATAAACAGAAGGCCGAAAACCCCTAAGTGGGCTCAGATGCAGGAGTGGGGTGGGGGTTTTGAGGCTGGTCTTCTGGGAAGTGGGCAGCAGAGAGGCAGAGGCTGGCCGATGAGGTCCTAAGAACGGAGAGTTGTCAGCCCTCCAGCGGCCCTGCTGCCGTGGCTGCCTGCCCTCCTGAGCTCTGTGCTCTTGGCACGGTCTGTGAGGCGGGGCGGGGCCCAGCCCCCATGGGCTGACACGCATTTGCCTACCACCGAACCACCAGGAAGAGGGTGGGTGCTCAGAGGTCGCTGGGTGCTGTCAGGTGCCGTGGGGTTTCGTTTTCCTTTTTGTTAGAAAGTTGGCAGTGAGTTGGGGAGCCTGGGTGGTGGTGAGGCCCCTGTAAGGGAGGTCAGCGATTCGGGAAACCTGCGGGGCTTGGACTCCACCCGGATCGGCAGAACTCGTGGTTGTGACAAGGCTCGGAGGGACACATGGGGTGAGCGTCCTGTCATCTTCAGGCGAGATCGTTTTAGGAAATGCGTTGCCCTGGGGTTTGGAGGAACCAATGCAGGAAGCGCGCGTGGCTGAATTCGAGGCGTGATTCAGGCTGACGGGCTCCGGGAGGGAACCACTTCGGGTCACGTGGTGGCCTGCTTCAGAAAACAGAACTGTGACTAGCTGCGGATGTCGGAAAAGGGTGGGAAGAATACTTAACAAGCCCACGGCTCCCCCAGAAGGCCTGGGGACTTCGCAGAGCAACTTACTAAAAGCTGGTTTGGACAGACTCCCCTCGCCAGGTCCCTCTCGTGACCTCGGATGGAAGGCCCCAGAGATCCAGCGGGCCTGGAGGTGGGGCCAGGGGCACCCCAGGCGCTGCAGCTGCCCTGTCAAGTCTCCCTAGAGGGGTGCAACCAGCTACGGGGCCAGGCTGGCCCTGGATGGAAGGGGCCCCCCTGTCCTCTGCACTGAGGACCTGCCCTTATCCCAGACCAGCGACCAGAGCCCAACCTGGAGGTTCTGACCCTCCTTTGCTCTGAGGAAGGAAACATTTAGGAAGTTCCTGTTCTCTGACTGATTTTTTATGTGTTTCTGTAAATGTCCTTTTTTTTTTTTTTTTTTTTTTTTAGATTTATGTATTTATTTGAGAGAGAGAGAGATCATGAGCAGGGTGAGAGCTAGAGGGAGAAGCAGATTCTGGCTGAGCAGGGAGCCTGATGCGGGACTTGATCCCAGGATCCCAGGATCATGACCTGAGCCGAAGGCAGACGCTTAACTAGCTGAACCCCCCAGGCACCCCTGTAAATGTCCTTTTCTCAAGCAGACTTAGGCTCCCGTTCCCTGATGACTTACAGACCTCCAGCATCTCTTCGTGTGCGTGTGTGCCGTCTGTATGTCCCCTTTGGTGAGGTGCTGTCTGTTCACATCTTTGGCTCGTTTTTAAATCAAAGTTGTTTGATGTCTTAAGTGTTGGATTTTACAAGTTCCATGTCACTTAGCTGCAGATCCTTTCCGCGACGAGCCTTCTGCAGGGCCTTGCTCCCGGTCTTTGCTGGTCCTCTGCTTCTCTCCCGGCTTGTCTTCCAAGCGTTGGGTGCAGAAGCATCGATCAATGAGCACAGTGTTCGTGGGGCCCTTCCCGGGGATCTGCGCTCAAGGGATCACCGGGCGGCCATGACCTTGCCCTGTGGGTTGAAATGATTACACTTCTTTTCTTCAATAATGCGTGGGAGAGAATATTCTCTGCACCACCCGGTCAACCCCTGTGATCACAGTGACTTTTACAGAGCGATCTGCTGTGTGGATGCTGCATGGAGCCCCGTGCAGCCCACTTGAACACTGCTCCGTAATCACAGGACCCGTGTAGTGCCTGCACGGAGATGTTCTGTGGTTGAGTCCTGCGCCATGGACACTCTTAACTAACGGCAAAGTCTATGCAGGGGAGACATTCCCCCTCACTTTGTACTTGAGAGAACACAGCCGGAGCCAGTAGCCACTTCACTGGTTGAAACCGGTGGTTCTCAGCCCCCAGGGGATGTTGGCCGGGAATGCTGTGGGTATCCCCTAACATCGCTGATAAGAATGGCAGCGAGGACAAGCCGGCTGCTCCCTTCCTGGGTGGTCTCCAAAACTCCAGGGGAAGACCGAGGAGCCCTCGAGGGGTGGGGGCGGGGTGGGGAAGCTACTCCGGGACCCCAGGCCTGGGGCTCAGCATCTGGGGCTCTCTGGTCAGTTCCTCGAAGGGAGGGGGAGAATCCATGGGGCCCCCCGGCCCCGGGCACTGGTCACGGCCTCCTGGTGAGCGGGTTCAATCCTGAGGGGGCATTCTTAGAGGGGGGAGTCTGGGTGAGAGCTGCTACCTAGAAGATACAAGGTTTTGAATTTTCCGTGAAAGCTCGGAGGAAATGTGGCCAGAACCCCCCAAAGGGGGAGGTGAAGGCTGCTCCTCCCTTCCAGTATAGCAGAGGAAGGGGCTGCCCCGAACTGGGGTCTAAGGACACAGGTGGAGGAGTCTCTGTGCACTCCCCTGGCAGGCGGGGAGCTGGTGGTGGGGCAGGGATGACGTCCTCAGAGCTGGTGACCGTGACCTTGGGGGGGGACACAACCTGACCGTGACCTAGTGGGGGTACACAACCTGACCACGTTCCAGCTAGAGGAGGGGGTCCTTGGTTGCATGTAAAGGATGGCTGGGAATCAGCCAGAGGAGGGGGTCAAGTATGGGGCTTCCCTCCCGGGGTGCTGGAGGAGACCCCACTAGCCCCTTTTCGAGAAGGGCGGGCAGTTCGTGGCGGCTGGGCTGTGGTGTGGCGTGTGGGTCGCGGTCAGCTGCGATGGGTGTTCCTTT